AGACGATTTCTGAGAGGAGCAACATGGCCACCCCCGGCATTGTCATCTTTGGTGGGACCACCCCCAGCATTATTGTCTTCAGTGGGGCCACCCCTAGCGTTTTGATCAATGAGAGGGTTATCAGCATTGAGGTGTTCGTCCACATCTGAATCACCACCTACCCGGTAAGCATTGTTGTGATGACTAGATTCACCGATTTGACCTAACAAAGCTTGGATCCGCTGGTCATGCTCTTCCTTCATCCGCAGCATAGCCATTTCCATTTCGAACTTGAAGTTCTCCTTCTTCTTAGCCAAAGCATCTTCAAGAATCTTGGTCATTTGCTCGGTGTTGATCATAAATACCTCGTAGGATTATCCTGGGCTGGATATCGTATTGTCAGAAGAAACTACAGAGTTAGCATCTGATGCTTCATCATCTGAGAATAATCCTCTATTCATCCTCTGATAGTCCCTACGTATGGTAGTACTTGCGCGTAGCCGAGTTAGACGATATGATATGAGGGGGGTCTGAACTAGAAGGTCGGGTTGACATTCCCTTATCAACCATGTCAATCATGAATGCGGATTGTTTAGGCTCAACAACTTCTAGCTGGAGTCGAGACATTAGTTGGGCTATTCCCAAATTGACTCTTCTTCCTGGAAAAAAGTTGGGGCTAGAACCACTTAAAACAATCGGAGACTTTTCCTTATTGACCATGTTAATGGTAACTTCTGGGAGTTCGTCATCTCGAACGACTGATCCTCTTTTGTGGAAACGCCTTGATTTAGGCTTCGATGCTTCAGTGTAGATCCTTTCGAATACTGAGACTCTCTGTGGAGCGATCTTAGGGCAGTTATATTCTGATAACACTGCTCTGATTAACCTCTCACAAGGGTTGTGAGAGTCTTTTTCTGGGGTATTTCTCTGTCGAGACTTACCCCCAGCCTGATAGTACAACTCATTGATATTGTGGCTAGAGCAACCTATTGGCTATTTATTAGGTATGACATTGTCTTCTGCCAGACATATTTCTTATGAATAAGCAACACTTTGTTGGCATTTGCAGGAGTCATATGTCCGGAATCACACCTTTGTAAGGGCGAAACCCTAATGGTCTCCTGGCCTTCTGTACGCATCCCCAAGCAGGCGGTTATAGGAACAATCTTGTTGGGAGGTCATGTACGACCCCCAGCCTAAAGAGTCGCTCGGGATTTGTTTACCATCCCAAGCATTCTTTGATAGGAGTTTTACCTCGATCTTTGTGTAGAGGACTCAGGCGATCCTTCAATGGAATTCTGAATTTGGAGAGACTCACGCTACCATAGGCTTTTGCTGGATGTGCGGGAGTAGAGAACTGGGATCTGAAGTTAACGAAGGCTAAATAGTAACTTCATCTACTTTTGCCTTGGGCACTAATTTGACCTTTGGCATCCAAACCCGTTTATACTTGGGCGATTTCTTAACCGCCTCTTCTTTCTGTATTTCTTGTGCTTTTCGCATAAGGATCCGGGCGTACACAAGAAGTGTGTTGCGCTTCTGAATGCGCTCCTCCAGAGTGGAATGGTTCCGTTTGACACGAATCCATTCGTTAGTAGGTGATTTGGAGAAGAATCCTGAAGCTTGCTGTGGCGATGGTTTAGCCACTTGGCGTCTCCTGGACTTCAGATCTGCTTGGTAGCAGAGCACATCCACTTGCTCCAAAGACTTAGCAAATTGGCGGGCGAGACGTTGGCGGTGCCTCTGACAAGCTCTCTTCGATAAAGTTAGCGGTGTCCAGATCTGCAGCTTTGGCTTCATCGGACGCCGACAGATCGTTGCAAGGTGCTATTGCAGGAGCAGTAGCGGGGAGATTATCTTCTTGGGTCTTCAAATCTGAAGACCAACGGATCTTTCGGGAGGAGGAGACCTTCCTGCATTTGCGAGGAGAGGCGGATCTGGAGGAGAAGGAGGAAATGTACTCCTCGAACTTCTATTGGTCGAACTCGTATTCGACCTCTTCAGCCCGGGGATCTTGATCATCGGTTGCGGCACGACAGCCTTGACAGTAAGGCTGTTGGCTCCCACTGTGTTCACCAGCTTGTTTGGGTGGAAAGTTGATGTTTTTATTGTGCAATTTATTTCATCTTTAGTCGTTACAATAAGTTTAAAAGTCTGATCTTTTTATAAGATCTCCCTACATAATAAAATAAAGATTTAGTCGTTACAATAAGTTTAAAAGTCTGATCTTTTTATAAGATCTCCCTACATAATAAAATAAAGAAAATTATAACTCTTCTCAAACAAACAAGTCTGATCTTTTTATAAGATCTCCCTACATAATAAAATAAAGAAAATTATAACTCTTCTCAAACAAACACAATGGACATTTATCTACCGCTGCTTGCGTGGGATCTTTACCTGTACCAGGGACGTTAATATTTGTAGACTACCAAGTGATCATATCAATCTGGAGTTTCGTTGATTCGTGAAAAAAATCAAGAAACTAAAGTAATTATCTCAGCAACAACGAGATAACCACTCTTCTCGAGATCGCACCTAGGTATGATTTCAAGGGAAGAAACCGAGCTATGGATCTGACGAACTCCTCTTCCTTAAGTCAAAGAACTCAATCCGATCTCCTCCTCTACTCTAAAATTTGTGCTCCTCTACAAATGAAGGCCCTAGGGATGTATTTATAGGCTTCGATACCTCCTTTTCAGATAAGAACAACCGATTCGATCTTATCCTTAATTATAACCACTTTATCACGCTATTACATAATATTAGATCAGTTGAAACAAATCCAGGTAGTTAATGGTTGGAAACGACTCAAAACAGCTCAAAACGGCCTTTCTGGGCCTGTAGACACCCTCAGTGTCTCGGCCTTGGCCAAGACACTTAGGGTGTCTCCGCCTTGGCTGAGACATATCGGGTGTCTCAGGCTTGGCCGAGAAACCTCGGGTGTCTCAGCTATAGCCGAGACACCTAGGGTGTCTCCGCTAAGGCCCGGGGCACTGTTTTGTGCATCCCGTCCGTTTCTACCCTATCTTTGTCGTCCGAACTCGGAATTGCGCGATTCAAAGTGCGAAGGAAAATCAACGAGGATATCTACAAGCTCCTATGGTTGAATCATATATGGAGTAGATGGGACACGAGGGGCGCTTCGTCTTTTGTAAGTGAAGCGTAGCTCCTGATCAGTTCGTATCTTCGTTATTCTACAGTTCCGTTGCTTCACACGGTTCATCGACTTACTTCATGCGCTCATCAACGTTAATTAAGCTTCTGTGACTCGGATCATCTTCTCTCTGCTTCGAGCTACGTGCGAGAGCCCGTAGGCAATTTTTGATGGCTACACCGCCCTGAAACCCAACTTCTGAAGGGTTATCGGTCGACCGATCCATCTGATCAGTCGACCGACCAGAACAGGGGCCGAAACTTACAGTTATATATATGCATACAACCATAAAAATATTTGTTTATCATTATATAATAATTTATTTCAAATTTTTAGGGTTTTAGATGAGTGTCCTAGATATTAAAATAGGGAGAGTTTAAATGAGTGTTGGATCATGAGAATAGGAGAGTTTGATAATGAGAATTTGAGCGTTTAGGTTATTGCCTTGTTCTTGTACTTCTTTCTCTTTTGATAGTGAATGTTCTTCAACACTTCTACCATGAACGTAGCCCAAATTTAGTGAACCACATAGCTATTTGTGCTTGCGATTGCTTGCCTTTTATTCTCGTGCTTATTCTTCGCAATTATTTTTGCTTTATTGTGCACTTGTTCTAACAACGACTCCAGCTCTGGAGGTTATAATGGATCTGTCCATGCATTAAATGTGATGGTGACTGAGAAGCGAAGCACTGTACAATGAAGCTAATAGGTCATCTCGTAGTTGAAGACATTCCTTAATGAGTCCAAGTGGAGTAGGCATTTTTTGTGTCTCATGAGACAAAAATCCCGTAGTGAAATGAGGTATCAAAAATGTAAAAGTAATAAACTTTTAACTCTGGACTTAACAGAAGTCTATAGCTTAGGAGGAGTTCATTTAACAAAATGAAATCTCACTATTCTATTTTTTTAAAAGTATAAACATATTTTGGATTTATGAGACCTATATTAAAATCGGTTGATTTTGAATGAGATTTGATAATGGACTTGTTATTTGCTATAACTCTTTTGACTTGATTATGATTTCGAAGGGAAGAACTTTCTGTTTTGATTAAAATTTTATTTTAAGAAATTGGGAGGAAAGATAAATGAGAAGGATATAAAATTAGTTTGGATTTTTCTATTTTTTAAGTTAAATTTAGTGATTTAAAAAGGACAAGCTCTTTCAATCTGATTTTGTATTGTTTTAAACAATCTTTTGCGTTAAAATAAATTAGAATAGACAGCACTAGTCCTCTTTTTGTTTGCACTTTTATCTCTTCTTTGTATTCAAACTAAGATATGATACCGCAATCTGATCATTTGTACCACTAATTCTCACATCTCACGCTGAATAGGCAGTAAGTTTTTTTGTATAACTTTTTAATGTCAATCCAAGTCTTGTTGATAATGAACATTTGGATGTATGAGATGTTGTATTCCTCGTGAATTAGTCGTGAATACCATTCAAATCACGGCATATCATTTTTTTCCCTGCTACAGTAATCACGATTTTTAAATGCTACAATAATATTTTTTAGATTTTTTAAAATACCACAGTCACGCCTCTGCCACAGTTTAAAATACTACATCATTCCCTTTTGCTACGAAGGCTTTTTTCAAAATAATAATAATACTACGGTAAATGTTACTGTAGTATTTACTGTAGCATGAATAGCGAACCGAGACTTCTACCATTTGTATAGAAGAGTAGATAAGTCATTAAAAAAAATAATAAAGCAAGAAGCTTGCTTTTTTGACCGAGTTCTGCATAAACAAGACATGAAAGTGCGCAGTATCACATTCCATCCAAAACAGTGAGTATTCCGGAATCAGGTCCCTTAATAATTTGCTATACCTGAGATTGTAGAGAAATAGCCAATGTAGCTTCATCCTTCAAAAGTGTGAATTTCATTTAGAACTTTCTACATCACCAAGCTACCTGACTATTTCTCTACACAGCTTGCTATATTTCTCGAGGACAGACACCTATATTTCATCAACAAGCTACCTGACTATTCCTCTTCACAGCTTGTTATATTTCTCGAGGACAGACGCTTTAGCATCAAAACCGACATCAAGATCTGAAAACTTCAAGATAATGGCCTTGTGATGACCTAAGGAAGAAAAAAATTGCATGGAAAATTACAACAGCAGATTCTTGGCACCTTCACCAATACCATATCCTTATTAGTAAAAACATCTGCTCTAAAATCTACAATTGGAACAAGTCAACACAGAGAGTGATCATAGCCCGAGATTATCACAACTCGAAGGTACATCACTCACAACAAGTTACTGAAAACATTCAACAAAGAGTTGGATGGCTCTTGATGTAAAACCTAATTGCTTGGACTCTGGAAGAAGTCTGTAGGTATTGATGGAGGGCAAAATTTCTTGGCCACATACTTGTACTGAAAAAATTAAGAGCATGAAATTTTAAATCAGAATCAAACGTCTGGGCTGAAAGGACAAACACAGGAATTGAACAAAGAGCAGTTTCTTACCTTGTGCTGGCTGTATTTTTCCCTGATTGCTGGCAAGTTGTTGCCAGGGCTATAACAATAAAGATTATGTAGAGCTTTCACACATTCACATAGTTCAGAGGGCTGATACAGGGTGTAATGATGCAAGGTGGCATTCTACAAAGATAAAAACAGGAAAATGATATTAGGATGTGAACCTCTTTGGATAACCATATAAGACAAAGAGACATAGTTATATATACCCAAGGATGTTTTGTTGGTTGAAGTATGAACTTTGCCAGAAAAATAGTAGAAGCAGCTGTCAATGATGGAAGATAACCAAGCATATCGTATTCAAGAAGTGATAACTCTGCAATATAGCAGGCAAGATACTCTAATTGTAGTAGGGGAGCCTGCATTATAAAACAAACATGAGAAACACTAGTGTATGAGAAAACTTTTTAGAAAGAAAAGAATAAAAGAAAGAAAGAAAATAAAACAAGGTAGAAAATCACCTCATCACATCCTTGAGCAACTCTGACGAATCTCCTACATTGATCAACAAAAGTACAAACATCACAATGAGGAGTTGTTATTGTTGAAGAAATGGGATATAGTTATTAGAGAAGTTGACTATTACCTCAAGAAACATTTGGTTGTTGGGGCTGTTGAAGAAATGGGATATAGTTATTAGAGAAGTTGACTATTACCTCAAGAAACATTTGGTTGTTGGGGCTGTCATTTCGAACTTCAAGTACTTTAGAACAAGTTGACTATTACCTCAAGAAACATTTGGTTGTTGGGGCTGTCATTTCGAACTTCAAGTACTTTAGAACGGCAGCTTCCATTTGCAATACCTGTGGATCAAATTATTAATAGGAAACCGATGATGATACTAAAAGTCTGAGAGGTTAAACACCACACCTCTTCCTTAAAGTAAGTGTTGTCGGTTATATAGCAAAATTCTTCCACTTGTGGCGCACATATCTCTTCATATTTCCTAAAATTGTTTTGTATCATCATCACCATAGAAGAATATCAATATGTTAGGAGATTATACGTCACAATGGAGGGAGAAAAAAAATCTTACGATGCTATCAACATGCAAGCAACTCCAAGAAGCTGCAGTCGCTGGCGGTTCATCTCATTACCAGAGAGATACCGGTCAATGTAATTCACAGTCAAGTATAGTGTGTCTGGTACAAGCCGGTATTCTTCTGCAACCTGCAGTTTAATATTATTAATAACTTGATCATTAAAGAAAATGTTTAACAGAAAGAGAGCAAGATCTTGATGTACTTCTACAAGCCAATCTATAAGGATTGAGCGCATGCTTGCATTTACATCTTTCTGAACCCTCTCCATGAAGTCCGTAGAAGGTCTTTTCTTAGCCTACAACAGCAAGAAGAACGCATCAATATACACACATTGGCATATACATGTTCATGAACAAAACCAGACAAAAAAGTGCTATGATGAAAAATATATAGACCTAGTTGGCTTTCAGTTTCGTGCACACAATATACACACATTGGCATATACATGTTCATGAACAAAGGCACACGCATCAATACACATAAAAGGTCACTAGAAGAAAAGGATCACCTCTGCTATCCGTAAATGTTTGTAAATATCACAAGCAAGTGTTGCACACAACTGGGGATCCTTGTGGTCATCATCAACATCAATGATGTTATCAGTCTCCATGGGTACAGCAATCTCTCTCTTGCATGTGTATCCTGCTAAATACACTATTAGGAGCCTAGAAGCATATATGAAGCAAAACGTAATACTTCCAAAAAAATCATGCTTTGTTCAAAACTAAGGGCATTAAATAAGAAGAACTTCGACTAGTGGAGAAAACCAACCATCTGCATCTGACACCTCAGAAATGTGGAGATTGTTAATAGCTCGTCTTTCCAAAGAAGCCACAGCTGAATCTGCATTATCTATATACTCAAACTCCGGGCTTTTCATAGACTCACAAGTAGACATACTTTCATCTGAAGAAATAGAAGAGTTTCTGGACCGAGTTGGGGACATGGCAGCATTGCAAGGTACAAGTCTTGCACCAGCCGTTTTCTTAGGTTCATTGTTTATAGCGAGCAAAGGAGCCTTGCTTGATGTACTAGTAGCCGGTTTCACAACAGAGGATGTAGCTAAAGAATTACGATGTAATCCCCCGTCACGAGCAGACGTAGCTGATCCCTTCTTCACAATAGAAGCTGTAGCAGATGTTGTATTCGCCTTCTGTAGTAACCTCATGTCAGTTTATTTTTAACCGAAAATGCAGTCAATAAGAAAACTAAGCCTGACCAGTCTAATTTTCATATATAATAAACTTCAATAAATATGATCGTGATTAAGATTTTCCACGCACTAGAGTGAGAACCGTGAAAAAGGATAACAACAGGATGACTGTAACCTGTGTCTACTAATTGGGGGGAAAAAAGTATTTCCCGCATTAATTTCGTACAACATTTATGAAAAACACGGTGCATTTGAAAACATGATGATTTACTCATATTAGGACTTAATTGACATACATCCAAATACAACTTGGCACGGGTCAACTCCGCAGCACAATTCTATCATCAGATGTCTGTGGAATGATAGCTACTTGATTCAAGGGCCCATTGAACTAAATTATAAACAACCATGAACTTTCAAAAAGACACACACCATGAGTTTAGCAACCAGTTTTTTTTAAGTAAAATACCATAATCCTTGTTCATTTATCTGAAGCAATAAAGTCACTATAAGTACGCTAGAATTTAAATAATAGATACAAAAACTAATACTTCGAAACAGCACCACCGACAAAAAAAATTAATTATCATTATTTGTCACATTTTAAAGACCCTAAATGCAACGCAACCCAATTTCAGCAACACTAAACAAAAAAAAATTAGAAAGAAGCGTCGACCAGCATCAACAGATGATCACAAGGCAAACGGCCTAATATCAAATCCTAATGTCAGTTACCAAATTCACTTACATTGGTCCCCTTCGACGCCGGAGCTCGAGAAAAACCCCTCGATGCAACCGCCTGATTGGTCAAATTCCCGAGCGCAACCCTCTTCTTAGCCTGCTGCGGG